ACACAAAGAGAGAGAGAGAGAGAGAGAGAGAGAGAGAGAGAGAGAGAGAGAAAGTGGCTGAAGGTAATTGGAAGGAGGTGGAGAAAATATAGAGGAGGGGGGTGGAGGAGGCTGTGTTGAGTCAGTTATTTAAAGAACTTACGCCCTCCTGATGTACTCACGTGGGGCACGCTAATTGACCTTCTACAAGAGTTGCTCTTAAATAAAGACATTTATAGCTCACCGTAATTTTACGTTATTGTATAATTCTGGTAGCCCTCTGTTTGCGTCACTTTTTAGGAGAAACCACACCCATTTTCAGACATCAAATATTAAATGAACGTAGAATTCAATATTCCCAAGAAGAGCATGACGAAGCTGGATTTTCATTGTTTTAAACTTGAGTACCGGTATTAATAAAATTATGAATTTCGTTCGCTATGTATTGTTTTAAAATACTTCAAAATTGAGCCACTGTTTTTCCAATTACTTTTTTTAAAATGTGGGAGTCCGCTTTTTTGCATAGTTTCAAAGCTGCTTCGCGTGCTCAGGATCACAATGTCAAATTTGTGTCGATAACATGGCTTTTTGGTGGAAGGTCAGTTGGGTATGTCCTTAAGTAACACACGGTGACCCTAGCTCAAAACTAGGGAGTAGCACAGATCGACCAGCTATGGTGTGTGAATTGTCTTAGTTTGTGATATTGTGCATTAACCACTAATGTATGCATCAATACTGTGTGTTTATTTACGCCATAATAAAACAAATTTCCCAAGGGATCAATAAAATGGAATTCATTGATAATCATTTTAATTTTTATTTAGTAGACAATATTCTCAAGATCTGCAATTACTGCAATTATTGTCAATTAATCGGCACTGTGGTGGCGGTCGAAAGCAATATTAGATCTATATTATTATGGTCTAAGTTTTAACCCTATCCGTACGTCGTGTTTCACTATCGTATCCATACGACGTGGGGAACTCTGTGCCACCACTTTCCAAGGAGGAAATTTACTCGTTAATCCGTTCTGTGCGCTTTGCATAGCAGTCTGTCAAAATGATTTTTTTGAGAAACACTGAAAGTTTCGAAAAGAACTTGGAACTAGAAGTATTCTAAAATGTGAAGAATACAACCCCTGGGGTACAAAATGACCCCAGGCGTAAGGATAGGGTTATGCACTGGGTTGTCGTGCTGAAAGCATGCGGCCAGCGTGTGACACAATAAACAAAAACAACTGGGTCTACTTGACTGTCGATAAAAACGACTGAATATTAAATAGCAACACAAAGTTAGAACACTTTATTTCATGTAGGTTTATTCAACTTAATGAGACTTGTGACAACACAAAAAGATCATTATGTCATAAATACATTTCGATCACAGTCAATTTCAGTGAAGTTACAGATTTGCTAAGAGGAACCATGCTGCCCGTGAAGGACTTGTCGAGTAATAGAGGTACTAGAAGGCTTACACGAAGAAAGAATGCGAACGTAGCAAAAGAAGCATCACAACACCACCACCACGGCATCAGCAGCAACGACAACAACAGCACCAAAACCAGCAACAATAGCAACAACAGTGGCAACAACATCAAAAACAATAGCAATAACAACAACATCAACAACATCAGTAACAACAAGAATCACGATGAAGACTAAGGCATTGTAAACAACAACAAAAATATGAACGACGACGGCAGCAGCAAGAACAAAAACAACAACAACAACAACAACAACAGCAACAAATAATAACAACAACAACAACATCAACAACAATAACAAAAACGACAACGACACCTACAACAACAGTAACAACAATAACAAAAATTTCAACAGATTGCAGAAGTATCTAAGCAAAATAGCCTTAAATTATAACATAGCAACAACAAAAAAGGCATGTGATATTGTAAAGTAAAATAAAATGGTTATTTTTGCTCCATATTCCAATTTCAGATATATGTTTGCTAGATCATTCATTTTATGATTGACAAATATGTAATCTGTGTACTACTTATTCACTTTTGTTCGCCATTTGTATGTGTGTGCGTATTCGTATTTATGATTGTGTGTATGTGTGTGTATGTGTGTGTGTGTGTGTGTGTGTGTGTGTGTGT